CCCCTTTCTTCAAATATGATGAACAAATTGCATGGCTCGCAGGAATGGGTTTGCATCCACTCTACGAAGATCTTGTCACGTTTAGTGACGTGCCTACGGGCCGTGGCCTAGTGTTCTTCAGTGGCGCACTTTGTAACGTTCTCCCGTGATGACATCATGAAATATCATTCCATCCCTGTATTTGGCGACTCCATGATGAATCACACCATATATTTGACGTCCGAAAATGTATTGCTGTCATACCTGTGCTTCCATTTTGTCATACGTACCATTTCATGTGTGTTTTGCGGCAATATCTCAGACACTTGTGCGCCGCACGAAAAGGATCATCGGTACTCTGCCGAATCTACCTCTCAGCCGCTCATCAAACGCCAAATTTTTCTCATATAACTGTACCTCACTGTCGGCTACTGACCAACCTGGGCGATCGTGTTATCCCACATATATTGTTCACACGTCATCTTGCGCGCATACCTTCGGAAAAGCATGAACACAGATGCTATAAAAGAAAAAGGAGAGACAAGGCGTTTGCCGACAAAACTATGCTCTTTCGGCAGTTAAAGAACTGCGTCCGTCACCTACGCCCTTTTATAGAGAAAGTCGCCACCATAGTGTCAGTAGACTGCCTATACATTAGACGCCTAGAGACAAGATGTTCCAGACAAAGTCAATCCATTCAACATAACGCTATTGCTGATCTAATGCCTAATCTTGTGGTTTATCGTCGTGGTGCTGTCGGCATCGTGGCAACAATTCGTCGTGGTTTGCACAAAAACCCGGGTCCCGGAGTTATCATTCCCGTTTATAGTCCTGTTCTGGTAGATATTCTAGCTCATCCTGGATAGTGTGCCTCTGGGCCACCATCAAGGCATATCTCGTGCGGGGTCTCCATATACATTGTCACCACTACCGCTCGCTCGTCGCTATTGGGAGGCCCCCGCGCGGCGCTGCACCGCATACAAGTTGCATACATATATAGCTGACACTCAGCTGTCGCACATTGCCGCTTTCATGATCCAACTCGTAGTCCAGTTTGGAACTACAACGCTATATATCAGGCAAAAAATAGCTTGTCATTTTATACCCTCTCTCTACAGCGAAATTGGCCAACGCAACACTGCAGCGACTGATTCATCGGTCATGGTAGGCGTGCCGGGCAAGTACAAAGGCTGCGAAACCTGTCGCCGGCACAGGGTCCCGGTAAGATCTTGCCATCCCCCAACAGTCTTCCTTCGCGATTCACACTCTGTGCTCAACGCTCCCCTAGGGGTTCTACAGCTAACAGTCCAAAATCTCAGTGCACCAACGAACGCCCACATTGCCGCAAGTGTGTCAGCAGGGGACGAGAATGCGAAGGGTACGACCGTGGGACGGTCTTCATCACGGGCACCCCAGCAGGCAGGGGCCGGGTTGCTTCGCATCCAAAGCGCGTCGCACCACGCAAGAAACAAATAGCCAAGTTTCCACGGCCAGTGATTGAGCGGGACAATGACTCGCAATCACCACCCAAGTTACTGGCAGGCGTCATAATACAAAAATCGGCCTGGGACCACCGTCTAGACCTGTCCGGCAGCAGCAACGGCTGCTCGCCGCTCATCGCCGCGCTGCACACCAGCCTGCATACCATTGTCCACTCTCCAGAAATTCCTATTGAAAACCAAGATTACCAAGACAACCAAGATCTTGGAATCGCCCTCCCGCAGTATTCACCGCTTGAGCTGCATCATAATGCTCATGTCAACGCCGCCGCGGCCAGTGCTCCGCACTGGATCAGCGGCCAGTGTCTGCTCTGCCACCACGGTATCCAGGGTGGCTCTCAGTCGACAGATAGCTACTGTGATCTTCTCTACGAGGTTTGTTTTGCTTACAACCCTCTTACGGGCGCGTATCTAGTCCCACCTGATTCATTTCCCTGTATAGCAGTCCTCGCCCAATACCAGCTGGCGCATCGCAACCGATTTGATCGTGCAGAGGCTCGGGGCCGCCAACTTTACTTTGTCGCCCCATCACCAATTCTTTGTTCGCGTCTATCGCCCCATAGCTGTAAGTTTTTTTTTGTGGTAGGGGGAGGAGAGGGGGGGTTGGGTGGGGTTTCCACTGTAGATCTTTTTTATTCTTTTTACAGATGGTTTTAGGACAGTGCTGACCTACTTTTGAGGTATGCTTGGCCTTACTGAACCGCAAGGAGACTTTTTTGTCTGGACCAGAGTGGATGGAAGTACCGTGGACCAACCACCGCAAGTCTTCTCTCGACACATTGTTCGATGTCATACTACGCCTGCCGCCTCTGCTTACGCAAACGGACGACTTGATTCCCCAGCACCCAAGCATGGAGCGGCGAGACAAGGCCCAAGGTCTGCTTCAAAGCTGCGGCATGTTGGAAAGGCATTTCATGGCGTGGCTGAGAAAGGCCGTGGGCTGTACAGAAGAGTTTTATTCCTTTAATACCACCACGTCTTCGTCGGCCCCCGTCGTTTATGCGTTTCATGACGAGCTGTCGGCCTTTACACACTTGTACTACTGGATGTCCCAGATGTTGTTCCACCGCTGCATCGAAAACTTGTGTGACATTGTCCACCAACCCATGCCGGACCTTGTTGCTGATCTATGGCCGACACGACCAACAACAAGCCTACAGGTTGACCCAGAGCAGTACCGCGATGGGCGTCAGCTGGCATCCAAGATCTGCCGCGGACTGGACTCAGCCCTCAGCTGCACGTCGCAGCCTGACCTGCTCGTTGCGCCGATGACTGTGGCGATGGACTTTTATTTAGGCCTCAGAATGACGTCTCCAGATGGTACGTCTGAAAGTATGGAGCTGCAACTCTTTCGAGGTCGCCTTATCGCCAAAGGGCACGATGTGGTGCGTCGTGACGGCGACACGCAGGATACAGTCTTTGCTGGCACTGGCACTCCAGCCCAGCACGCTCTCCAGGCCGTCTTGTCTGCCAGTACCAGTAACGTTACCAGCAGCAACGCGTCTCAGCACACCAGTTGTCTGCCAGTATGGAGAAGCAGCCCATCCTCGTTTTTCCCTGCTCCCACGAAATCGCAGCTCGACAGTGTGCTTAGCAACCCCAGATCTACTGGTGCCGGGCACTACTAGCAGGAGGTTGGCTTGGTGGATCAGATGGACAAGATACCGGGGGACGCCACGCGAAAGAACGCGGCCGGCCTATTATTTTGTTGCTTTTTGTCGTCTTAGCTGCCTGATGGCCGTCAGTGTGTAATTAAAATATCAAATTAAACTTTTGCTTTACTGCCACCGTGGCCGTATTGTAGTTCGAAACGCAGACCCAGCACGCACGCATCCCAGCGCCGCCGGCTCTCTGGTGCTGTTACTATTAGTGTCGAGCTCCTGATGCACCAGGTTCCCAAGCTCCCGGCTCGGCCTGAACTCTTTTCTAATTAGCTGTCTACCTGGCGCGTTTTGTTTCTACATTGTATTCGATTCTGGAAATTCTTTCTTGTTCTTGCACCAGCTAGAGCATTGTGTTTCTCGCTTTCGCATGAATCTCCTGTCCGCCACATTCAGCTAATCTACTTACCTTATAGTGCCTGGCATCATTATCCACCATGGCAGCTACAGTTGACCCAGCTACGCGGAAGCGAGTCCTGCGAGGAATCGCTCTCTCGCTGCTCCTGGACTTGGTATGAATCACCCCCCGATCCCCATCTCCAAATCTGGCGCAAGATGTATTGTCCATCGAACGTTGCCCCCCCCGCGCGCGCACGCGCACCGTGGGAAGCCGCAGGCAAACGAAAGCTGACCACCCATCTTTGATAGATCTCCTTCACATTCTACCGTGACAGCGAAGCTCCCGCCCTCCTCACGCCCTCCTCAATGGCGGCCCGCCGACCCTACTGCAGCGAGATTTCGAGATATTCTTTCTCATGATATAAAATACCAATAGCGTACTTATTGACGAAGCAATAAATTTTGTCACCTAACCGGTTAGGCTAAGCCACTTTCCGGTTGACACTGGGGCATGCTAGTTGTCCCTTGGTGGGGCTAAGGTGGCAACCAATAAAGCAGCCACCGGTGTCACTATTAGCTCAGTGCTTGCCTAAATAGGCAAGCATCTAGGGGCTGCTAGAGGATTGTTTTACATGCGTGATACTGGCTGTCTTCGTGCCAGGCAGACAGCCTGTCACGGCCCGGCCTCGCTCTAATTCTCTGAGCCGTAGCATGCATCAGGCTGAGCCGCACACCATGCTGAGAGCTCGATATTGGGGCGGTGCAGCCGTGGTGGATGCTTAGGTAAAGTGGTGCTCACAGCTAAAGTGGCGGTGTCCTTAACAGGTCCCCAATGGCACACGCCCAGCTCAGTACCTGGCATAGAAGTTAGGGACTGACTCAGATTTACTCACCACCGCTTTATACTGATATTGATACACATATTATTTTCATGATGTGCACTGAAATGGGACACTCCCCTTCTTCAAGCGATCTTGTTCTTGAATGCATTCCCTGTCCTTGACACGTCTGTTTACCCCTCTGACAGACGCGCGAAGTACATATCCGAATGTAGTTGCGTATTGCAAATTTAATCGGAAGGCTATACTTCCTGAGTGCTATGAGCAGCTGTACACACCGCCAGCTACACATCAGTTCTGTCATCAGTGAGCAGAAAGGCACCAATGAGTTGAATAAAACGAAACGGAATCCAGTAATAATGAAGAAGCAGAGCAACGCCAATCACTCGAGAGCGAAGCGAGCCCAGGCAAGGAAATGGAGCGGTAGTGATCAGCTGCACGTGTCTTGCTCCAGAACCGCACGCCTTCCGTTGACTCTTCGTCTATAAGTAGGCCAAGAGCCATGTTCCGCACGCTGCCCTCTATCTCATTGCCAAAGCAAGAATTCAAGCATTGGTTTGTCCATTGTCCATTCCTCATGCTCTATGAGTTATTCACCATTCACTCACTGTTTTGCACCACAACTCGTCGATTCGTTATTCTCGCTTTCGCGCAAAGACCTATTCGAAACCATCCAAAGCCATGTCGAAGTTGATGTTGGCCCAAGCAAGCATCCCAAACCTTCAAGCGAGGCGGGCTATGCAACGCTTGAGTATCAGACGCCAAAAGAGAAGCTGCATTGCGCAGGGGTCCTCGAAAGCAAACTGGGACAAAATACAACATGCGGCAGGCAATGGCCCTGCAACGACAGACCAGTAACCCCGTGAACTGGCATTAGCCTTCCAAAAGGGCATTGGGCCGTCTAGCACGCCATCCTCCAGCGACCCAGCCACGTCTTAGCCGGAGCAGAATCCTTATACAGAGCTATCGGAAGATGAGCTGTATAAGCAATTTCGAAGTGTTGGCCGATCACAGTGTAAAGAACAAAGCGGCCAAAAAAAGTAGAGGAGGCCAGATGGATCATGTAAGATGACCGCGAGACTGGCACCGCGCGCGACAAAGCGAGAAAGTTGATGGCACGAAGCTGACTGTCGATACAACAAGTTTTGTCAACGCCGGGAGAAAGACCCAGACGAACAACTCAAGAGCGGCGATGCAGCACTGTTCAAAGTGTATCTATTCTTCCGAGTGAAGAGGTTACGGATCGAAAAGCAGTCGTCTATCATGACATACTGAAAACCTTGAGCATGGTGTGGCGCATTGCTCCCCATCAGAAAATTTGAAAACCCTTTCCTCAAAAAGCCGACCATGTGCAAAGCGGTTTCGAGGTGCATCGCAATTACAACGCTGATGTGTATATTCTGCTGCGCCGCAAAGGCCAGACGTATGTTTTCAGATCAATTGACAGGGCCTGGCCTTTGCCTCCTGAAAATATAGATACAGCGGACGCAAGAGCCGACAAAGCTCCAAGATAAATATCGTATAGTTACCGTACTGAAACTGTTCTCTGCTACGTATGTTCTCTGTGTGCCAGCTATGATGGCAGATGACCATCGTATGCCCTAGCCATAGGCAGAATATCTTGCGCGCCGGCGTCTAGGTCGGTCTGGGTCTAAAACGTAGACTGCGTTATCCTGGCATCATTGTTTCTCATTTTAAGTCAAACCATGGCCAGCGTGCAGTAATATTCTAATTCAACATAATTTCTCTGAGGTCTATGGCCAAAACAACTCATGCCCGGCATTCCCATCCGGGATGGGATGTGCCAGTAAACAAGTATAGAGGGTAGAGTCTGGAATTCTCGAGCATTGGGGCACTCCAGATGTATTTTTAGACTCTAGGAGATCCGGAACGCCCTGAAGGCAATTTTTTTTTTGATCCCAGCACTCGAGATCTAAAGTGCTCTGAATGTAAGCCGAGTTCACGGAAACCTGGCTCAAGTGCGAAAGCTCTCTCACGAAGGCTTTCGTATGAGAGAATGCACACACCACATGACACCGATTGGTTGGATTTGCAGGAAAACTCTAGCCTTGCTCAAGGACAACGCTCTTGCGCGGCCCTAGCACGAGAAAGCTGCGCACACAATACAAACCACTGCTTGGCTAAGATTTGGGGAAAACACCATTCAGGCTCTCGTGCGACACTCTAGTGGGTGTCTTGTCACAGCGTCGGATTGTTACTGGCATAGCGCATAAGCTGCTCCATAGCAGCCCAAGGCCTAGCTTTTCGCTCTACAATCTTGATTTCTAGAATAAGGCCTCCCTGAGGAATTGTATTATACTGTATACTGGCATCATGTATAAAAATGTCTGTATTATGTCGTAGGATTTAGGGGGACCTCGTGCCAATGGCTCGAATGCCCCAGCAGCCGCGGTGCATCCTTTCGCAGCCTTCCGCGCCCTAGCGGCCGATACGGTCTTGCAGAATATGACGCCACGTAGACGGCCACCATGAGAGCAGATTAGGGCTGTAACGAAATGTTCAGTCGTCATTAGAGCGAGTGTCGGCTTGTTGACATGTGCCTCGGTAGGAGACGGCGCTTCTGTCGTAGAAACTGGCCTCGGCGCATCCAC